GGGAAACCACAGCGGCACAAGGGAACAAAATCAATTAATTGCTAACGAATAAAGGACAGGGGAAGAGGGAAGTCTGCAAGAAAGGGGAACAAAACTCACTAGTGGAGCAGTAAATTTGGAGCAACATGTCAGAGTAGCTGGAGACAAGACAAAGTGAATTAAGGCAGCCTCTTCTGTATTAGACAGAAGCCTTGTATATATAAGACAAAATATAGCAGCACATTCTCAATTTAATACCCACATTCTCAATTTTAAACCCACATATATATAGCAGCACATCACATTTTGATGCATACAAAAATTACATTTGCAAAGAACAGAGATATGCTTATTTATAAATATATAGCAAAAAAACAACTACCTTCCATTGAATAGAATTGGACTTTTCTCTACTGTTAGACTGTGGAACGGGTAACTCTTCATCGGTGGAATCAAGCTCATGCTCCATATCTTGGTTAGGCCTATAGAGCTCATCGTCTCCCGAAACCTTTTTCTTTTTATTCTTACTTTGATTGCCTCTATTATTTTGAACTTGCGCCATCAGTGACTTAGCCTGTTCCTTCAAACCTAATTCTTCCATTCTCGTTAAATTTTTTTTAATCGTTTCCATTCTCAGCCTCTCATATTCTGCCATTCTTGGTTCACGAGTTTGATGCTCATCACCTGAACCCCTTATAGCTCCAAGCTTAGTGGATTTTTTCTTTGTCATACTTGGAGCTAATTGATTTTGAAAATGAATCCAATTTATACAGAAGAAAAAAAAATCATATATATATATATATATATGCACTCATAAAGCAAACTTGTACAAATAAAGAGTAAGGACTATACAACCAAACAATAGCTATATGCATATTGACCAACGTAAAAAAAATGGGATAAAAAAACATGAATATCAAATTCCAATTTCAGTTCAGAATCAATTAAGAAATCGTTGAAGAAATAATGTAGTTTCGGTAATGAGAGAAAGATGATGTAAAACACCTAATATCCATACCACAATTACAGCTTTACACCAAGAGTAATCATATAAAGGGAAGTCCTAAGAGGAAAAGCACAAACAGCACACTCTGCAGGGCCAACAGGGAATTAAAGCACAACAGGACAAATGTAACTAATTCTTTACTCAAGGAGGGAGCTGAGCAAGGTGAAATTGGAGTTGCAGAGCTGATTCTTCAATAAAATAGTGACAAATCCTTTAATGTTAGGTTCACTTATAAACTTGTAAGCCTGAGTATATATAGGAATTAAGGCAGTAGTAGTCATTATGTTTGCATTGTGAGGAATTTTGTTAAAGAGATAGTTAACTGGAAGTTACCCATCGTTGAGATTGATTGCCTAAGTTGTCAAGGATCCCTTCTTGCCAGAGTTAATAAAAAATACTCACGCTTTATTTTTTCTTACATTGTTATTACAAGTTTAATTTGGTCTTCAAATATCAGTCTATACCAAATGACACACAGCGACTCCATAAAAAAAATATATATTGATGCTTCACAAGCAAATTTCGGCAACACAGGCCTTAGCTTGAATCCCCTAACATAGTTCAATCATTTAAAAAAAGGGATGAGTTGTGACCTTGAGCTATAATTAACACATCTCAACCATACCTTATTGCTTTTGAAAGGCCATCATAAAGGGACAATTCTATCATAAAGTACTTTATTAGTCTCAAGCAATTTAGCATAAAGTTGAATACATTGGAAGCACTTTTACTAATAACAAATTGCCTACCATTCAGCACACCCTAACTCAGTAACTCCTATTATTAACACACACCTAGCTTTCCCTCTTTCTGCACAAGGAGTATAAAAAGTAGTCTATATTTGTCAATAATTTAACACATACACAAATCTAGCACCTAAGTTTAGCAATTGGTTGGGTATACTGTGGATAATTTAAAGTCTTTTCTTTAGTCTCTACTCTCCAATTGGATTTAGATGACCTAAGCAAGGAGATAATTGCAAGTCGAAGCAATTGACTAGTGTTAAATTGATAACAAGAAGTCACATACGGAGTATTTTGTATAAACTGATTGAAACCCAAATCCAAAATCTTTCAAAAAGAAAAAACCCACCACAATTATTTGTATCATAAACTAATTACAATTATATATATACACCCACGTCCTTAACAAATGCATAATCACCGCAAGCAACAACCAGAAGTTAAATAATTTTTAGTAATTCAATCAAGCATAAAGCTAACCCAGAAACATAACCAACAAAAAAAAAACAACATAATTAAGATAACCTAGAAGATATGTACATCTAAAAATCAGATCCAACATCAAATCAAGCAGTTAAAAAGATTAAATTCACTTGGGAGATAAAAGGGGCAATGGTAACTTACAAATGAAATTCAAAAAACAACGAAAACTTTGTCGGCATCAAACCCAACTAGCCAATCATAAAAGCAAAGGAAGCAGTGTGAGTAGAGAGTAATGCAACTAGTTAATTACAAAACAGATACTTTATACTCTTAATTAACTCTCACCTGAGTAGAACGAAAGGAAGTGCGTAACCGATTGATGGATATGATGATTTTAAGGTGATGAATGTGTTGTATAATGAGATCAACAACTGAAAAGTGGAGTAACTGCTGATTCATAATGAAAAAAATTTGGAGCCAAAAACAATTCACCATTTCGCGGGTTTGGAGAAGAAATCAGGGCTGAGGAGTTGACGAGTTTAGCTGTTGAGGATGATTGTGGTTTTTTTTTTTTTTTTTTTTTTTTTTTTGGAAATAAATGTGGAGTATTATAAATTTATAATTTCTAATTATGTGAAGATATGAGGGATTGAGGGAGTATTGGATATTAGGACTTAGGAGTTTAGGATCGACTCTGGTTCTTCACTTTTCTTCTTCTTTAATTTTTTTTTATTAGTTTTTGTTTTTTTTAAGTTTGGTTGAAAGATGATTCTTCATTTCTTTGTAGCTTATTTGGGAAATTGGGAATAAACTATGGGATCTTACTTGGGTAGTTGGGTGGAATTAAAAAATATCTTAATGAAAACAATGTTGTAATGTGATACGACAAATAAATTAATACGGCTAAAAGTTACTCTATAGTTGTAACTTGCTAATTTGTGGATGGTAATTAAATATTAAATATTATCTTTTAATATTAGGAATTTTATCTAAATATATAAAAAAATTTAGCTCATAAATTCCAAAAAAAAAAGAAAAAAAAAACAATCAAACAAATCTAGCATCGCACGGGCTTCATCTAGTATAAATAAAATGTTGTCTGTGTTCTATGATAAATTTACTCTCTACAAACTGATAAAAATTAAAGGTTTGTAAGTAAAAGTAACTATAATATCCATATAAAACATATTTTAATGGCAATTTACATTAAAATCTTATTGGCTTCAAATTTACCCAAGAAATTAAAAGTTATCCAAAATTGGCAAAATAGTTACCGTACTGAACTATTTCAAGTTACTCTAAAGCATGTTTAATTTTATCTAAGCTTAAGTAATAAATATGAACACAATAAATTCTTGTTTGTAATAATTTTTGATGAAGTTTTATACAAATGTAATATTGAATCGAAATCAGCAAAGTTGTAATCAAGGAGATCCAAAGTCAACCGATATGAAATAGACCCAACCAAACCCGTTTTGAACCTAATACTCCAATTTGAGCATCAATACGAAGTTAATGGCTTTGCTCAAACCTGACATGGACCCGATAGCTACCGCCCAACTCAAAATTGATCCGACCAAACCGAGGTGGTTTAAAAGGGTAACCTTGACCATTATGACAATCTATTAATATTAATTATACAAATGTAAAAGTCAACTTATTATATAGAATAAAAAGAATCATATAGTGAGATTAACCATTAAGTTTTATACACATGTGAAATTCAAATTGTTTATTATGTTAATAAGTTTTATAAAAATGTTAAATTCAAATTGTTTTATTATGTTAATAAGTCTTGTGCCGATTTCACCAAATTTAATCTCAACTAATTCTAGTTTGACAATCATGAATTTAACCCGGCTCAACATCGACCTATACAAATATGAGATATCTGATGTAATCCAAACTATTTTAAGCCGATTTGATGTTAGCCCAACTTGTTTTCGAACATAACAAGTTGAATTGACACAACTCATCTAATCTAAATGGTTCAGGTTAATTAAAATGGTAACTTTGACTCCTTATGATCCAATCACTAAATGATCTGATCAACTCGTAATTGAATTGAAACTATATAACCAGTTGATACCAATCATGTTCTTATATAATCGATACAACAGCGAAACTTGACACACATGCATTACTTTGAAATTAGATAAACTTGTTTTTATATTGGTAAACAATATTAATAACAAGAGATTATAAAACTTTAGTATAACGGAGTAATACCTATTTAATACTATATTCCATGATAAAATTTTATTTTTACACGTTACTAAAAAACGATGGTCAAAATTAGCATACAAATAGTGAAAAAAGTCAAACATGTCATCTTTACTCAATAGATATTGACTGAAAATTGACAGATCTAACCCAAGATGAATGAGGTGGATCAAAATGGTAACCACAACTAAGGCTATGGTTCCATCCCGCCTTGAGAGGAATTTGACTCGTTATGACTCGATCCGTAAATGGTCAGCCCATAATTGATACAGTATTTCAAGTTGACAACTCTACCTATAACTAATAGTCAAATTCTCATTCATCTAACCATCACTAATCATACTTTATTTTAGAAAATACACTCAGAATACATTTTTTATTTTGACACAACATATGAAGTATTATAATTGATAATAACATACTATGTATAAAGTTTAAGCTCATGATTATCTCTTTCAATAAATCTAATCATGATTTAATAATTGTATGTTCCCCTCACAAAATACTTCATACTATATTATTATTATTATTATTATTATTATTATTATTATTATTATTATTATCAAAGATTGGTTTGATTAATGCTTTTAAGTAGGAAATTTTTGGATTTAGCATCTCTTGATTTAGGGTGCATTTTATTCACCTGATTTTTACTTATTTGAACTTATCCAAACTTATTACTTGAACCTGATCTAAACTTATTTTTGAAAGCAAATTTAGCAGTGTTCTTATATAAACAAAGCAAGGCCTTAATACTCAGTAAAATATAGCAGTGTTTTTTTTTTAAAGTAAATATAGCAGTATTCTTATATAAAAAGAAAAAGAGAATTTCAAAAAAAAAAAAAAAAAAAAAACAAACTCAAATAATTTGTTAGTAGGTGGCAGGCACACAAAATCAAACAAATCCATGACAAACTTCCCACAAAATCTAGCACCGTTCTAACTTTTCATTAAAAAAAAAATTGTTAATCATATTTCCTAAAAAAATCGAACAAACCCCAATTACGAAATCAAAAGATTGTCTTTGTGCTAAAATTAGATTTTGATTGCTGTTTTCTGGTATCAAATTGCAATTTATTGGAGTAGATTGTTTGGTATCATCTTGCCTGGAGTAGATTGAAGATAGAAGCTTGTGGATTGAGGAAAAAACAAAGACAAGTAAGTTTGGCAACTCGACTCAACTAGTTATTTTAATTTCATAGTATGTCAGGTTAAGTCTTAGTAGGTTTGAAAAGTTAGGGAATTTTAATTATTTTTCATCAAATTAGATAAGTATGTTTATTATTTAATTGGTTTGATAATCTAAATTAATAAAGAAGACAAACAATCTTATAGTGGGATAGCATAGGTAGATGATTGTTAAATGTTGACCACCTCTAGGTGATGGCTCTATATAATATTGCGTTCTTGATTTATAATGTGATGTATGGATAATATAATTTCTAAATTCTATTTTTCATTAGGTGCTTGTTGCAGTTCTCTTTGGTTGTATTGGATGTAAAATAGAATCTAATGTTTAATGACTATAATCTTATATGTATATATGGGATGGTTAAGTGCTTGTTACCATTCTCTTTGGCCCTATCTCTTTAGGGTGTGAATCAATTGTGGTATTGTGACATTTAATTGTAGAGAGTTGAAATTGAATATGCATTTTTATTTGCTGAAAGTTTGTCTTCTTATTTTGTTTTAGCCAGTCCAAGAAATCATGTCAATATTTATGTCTTAGTTTATTACCTTTGTTGTTGATCCTCCACATAACTTCTTATGTTATAGAGTATTATAATGGCAAACATCAACAAAGATTGGATTGATGCACCCCAAAGTGCCGAAGAATATATCAAAGGTGTTGAGAATTTTCTAGATTTTGCATTTCTAAATTCAACCATGGACACAGAGGAAGATGACAAACCGGAAATTTTATGCCCATGTATGAAGTGTGTTTACAGATTTTGGTTCCCAAAGGAGGAGATTTTCAGTCACCTAATTGCTAACAGATTTAACAAGAGGTATAAAGTGTGGAACTTTCATGGCGAAGGATTTACAACAGGGTCTTCTTCAAGGGAAGATGGGCATCAGTGTGATAATCAAAACACATTAGACAATATGGACGAGATGATTAATGATATTTTCAGAGATTTTATAGGAGGTTCAAGTTCCGATGCAGAAGAACTTTGGAAGGGTCCAGATGAGAGTGCTAAAAAGTTTTATAAGTTGTTAGAGGATGCACGGGAGGAATTATATCCAGGCTGTAAAAATTTTTCTGTGCTTTCATACACAGTGCGACTCTATCTACTTAAATGTCTTAACGGGTGGAGCAATTCTTCTTTTGATAAGTTGATGGAGCTTCAATGTGATGCCTTTCCATTTGCAAAGCTTCCTACTTCTTTTCATCATGCTAAAAAAATGGAGAAGAACCTTGGACTTAATTACAAACGAATTGATGCGTGTCCTAATGATTGTATGTTGTATTGGAAAGAACGTGCAAATGACAAGTCTTTCCATGTTTGTAAAGCTTCTCGATGGAAGTTAAATGAGAAGCAAAAAGAGGAAGGTGCATTGCCTGATGAAGGAGTTCCTGCAAAATTTCTGCGCTACTTTCCTCTGAAACCTCGTCTACAAAAGTTGTTTATGTGCTCTAAGACGGCTGAACTCATGACATGGCATGAAACTGATCGCAAGAAAGATGACAAATTAAGGCACCCTGCTGATGGACAAGCTTGGAAAGATTTCGATGCTGCACATCCACAATTTGCAAGTGATTTTCGAAATGTGAGGCTAGGTCTTACTACTGATGGTTTCAACCCATTGAGAACTATGAGTGTGTCATATAGTATTTGGCTTGTTGTTTTATCCATTTATAATTTGCCTCCGTGGTTATATAATAAGTCCAAGTACAATATCACGCCTTTGATTATACCTGGTCCTCCTTCTCTAGGTTATGATATTGATGTTTACTTGCAACCATTAATCGAGGAATTAAAGGAGTTATGGGAAGTTGGAGTTGACACATATGATGCTGTGAAAGATGAAACATTTTCTTTAAAGGCATCCTTGTTGTGGACAATTAGTGACTTCCCTGCATATGCAATGTTGTCCGGATGGAGCACCAAAGGAGAATTTGCCTGCCCGAATTGCAATCATAAGACTTGGTCCAAATACCTGAAGTATAGCGGGAAGATGTGTTACATGGGACATCGTAGATCTTTGAAAGAAAATCATCATTGGCGTCGTAATAAGAGAGCTTTTGATGGTAATGTAGAGACAAGGCCTCCTCCTCCTACTAGATTCTCAGGTTCAGAGGTATTAAAGGATTTAGAAGGGTTTGAAAATAAGTTTGGGAAAACTCAAAAGAAGGGTCGAAAGAAATTTCCTTGGAAGAAGAAATCAATTTTCTTTGAGCTTCCATATTGGGAAACTAATACCTTGCGTCATAATCTTAATGTTATGCACATTGAGAAAAATATTTGTGACAGTGTGCTCGGTAATTTGCTTGATATCCCAGGAAAGACTAAGGACCATGTGGCATCCCGCTTTGATTTACAAGATATGGGTATAAGAAATGAACTCCATCCAAAGAGAACAAATAATAGAGGGAAACGTTTATACTCCAAAGCCTGTTTTTCTTTATCTTCTAGTGAAAAAGCCTTGTTTTGCAGTGTGATGAAAGGTGCTAAGTTTCCCGATGGTTGTGCATCAAACATATCCAGATGTGTCCAATCCAATGAGAGGAAGATTGCTGGTTACAAGAGCCATGATGCCCACTTTATGCTTCATTATTTGCTCCAAGTTGTGCTAAAGAATGTCTTGCCTAAGCAAGTAGCATCGACTTTGATTAGGCTAGGATCCTTTTTCAGGGGTTTATGTAGGAAAGTTCTAAAGCCTAAAGATCTTGTTGATCTTGAATCTGAAATCATACAGATACTTTGCCAACTTGAGAAGATATTCCCCCCAAGTTTCTTTGACATAATGATCCACCTTTCACTTCATCTTGTAGAGGAGGCAAGGCTTGGGGGCCTTGTTCAAGGTCGTTGGATGTATCCGAAAGAGCGGTATTTAGGTAAATTGAAGTCATATGTAAAAAATAGAAGTCGACCCGAAGGTTCCATTGTAGAGGCCTACTTGGAAGAAGAATGCCTTATTTTTTGTTCTCGGTATCTTCACGATGATTTTAGTTCAAAGTTGAATGGAGCACCTAGAAATGATGATGATACTGCATCCAATGAAGATGGAAGCCTTTTTTCCTAATTTTGGACGTCCTTAGGTGTAAAAAAGAAAAATAAAGGCAAAAAGGTTTCTTTAGATGAGGACACTTTGATGAAAGCTCATCGCTATGTACTCTTTAATTGTGATGAAATCAGTGATTACATAAGGTTAGTAATTATTTTTAAATTGGTATTATTTCATATTAACTATATTTAATCTTTATTGTTTATAATTGACTAATATTTAGTTACTTTGTGATATGTATGTAGTGAACATCAAGATTTTGTAAATCGTCAAAGAAGTCAAGGTAGACGGGTTAAGCGGAGTAGGTGGGCGAGAGCACAAGAGCACAGTCATGATATTGGAGCATTGTTCAAGGATCGTGTACGAGAACAAAATGTTTCCAAAGAAATCAAGGCTTTATCCCAAGGTCCTGACTATACTGTGAGAAGTTTTAAAGGGTACCTTATAAATGGTAACAAATTTCATACAATTGCACATGAGTCAAAAAGAAACACTCAATGTAGTGGAGTTAGTGTAACATCTTCAATGTCGAGTTTTGCAAGTTCTAGGGATCAAAATCCTGTTGTTGGGGATGTAAAATATTATGGAGTGGTGGAGGATATCATTGAGTTAGATTATTCTGGTCATTTTAAAGTGGTCTTGTTTCGCTGTAAATGGTTTCAAGTGGAGCAAGATGAGTTTGGGCTAACATGTGTAAATTTTAAAAGGTTATGCTATACTAATGACCCTTTTGTGATGGCTAATCAAGTAAACCAAGTTTTTTATGTGAAAGATTCCAAAGAAAAGCATTTGCATTACGTTATGGAAACTATCCTCGGAGACTTCTTTGATATAAGTGAAGAATCAAATGGTGATGTTGGAGTTTCTTATTGGAATGAATTTGCTAGCGATGGTGTTCTTTCAAGGGAAATCGTTGAGGATGATTATGATGGTAGTTGGCTGAGAGAGGACTTGCCTGCCACTACTGTTGACGTTCCAGAATACATGTTGGATATGCGAGCAGAGCCTGAAATTGATGATTCTGATGATGAATTCGAGGACGATACTCTATGGGATTTCATGTAAGCAAGTGAAGATGAAGCTTTGGAAATATGATTGGTCCTTTCTAGTATTCTTCTTTTAGTTACTTTGGAGTAATAAAAGAACAGGGATTTTAGCTTAAACATTTTTGGTTTTGTTTGACTGCAAAATTATCTGTTTTAATGACCAAAAGTTTGGTTTTTGTTTGGTTTTGCGATTAATTGATAATCTCTTGAAGCTTAATTTGTTTTTTTTGGATTAGAATCAGCCAACTGCCCAAATATTAGACCAGCTTATGAATGTCGTGAATCATATTAGTCAGCTTGGACTTTCAGAGAAGCGCTGAGTATGAAAAACCATAAGAAACTAGTCTTATTTTAATAATCTATTATCCAGTTTTATTTTGCATTGTTGTTATTTTGGTAATATATTTGTGATTGTGATATGTATGAGTTTTGTAGAATATATCAATGTGATTTGATAAGCTTACGAATAATGGAGGAGATATTAAGAATTTCCTAGCTGCCAGACAACCGCAGCAGCAGGCAGCTGCTAGCCCTACCGGCAGGCAGTCAGAGCCGTTAGCAGCTGGCAGCCTGCATCTAGCAGCCTGCAGCTATCAGCCACTAGTAGGCAGTAGCAAGCCGCCAGCCACTAGATGCAGCTAGCCGCCACAAGCAGGAAGTCACCAGCGGGCATGCAGTCGCAGACTGTAGGTTGCAACAGCAACTTAGGTAAAAATATACTGAATTCTTGGTTTTTTTTCCTTTTTGAAACAATTCTTGGGTTTTTATTATTGCAAAGTATTTGTTAAATTGGACTTTAGAATAAGAAGTGATAATGCACCTAGACTTGTATCTTTGTCAATCCTTCAAAATCAATGTCCAAACTAATAGTGTTGATGTACCTATAGTCCTATAGAATAGTATACACTCCTCAATTACCTCTTGAAGATTCATCCCACCATGCTGATACTTGTTATTGCCTGCAGCTTGTTGAATTTCTGTTAAATTGCATACATGAGTGTACCAATAGATCACCCTTTACTGCTTCTATAGCTTCCATTTTCTCCTTTCTCTTGTTGATGATTGCACATAGTGACCTGTGAATTTGATATTCTATGTTCTTAAATTTTCTATTCTTCTAAATCCTAATATAATCATTTATTTATCAACCATACAAAGAAATTATACTCGTATATTTTTTGAAAAAATGCTGCTTGCATTTGAGATACATCCCTACAATGCATTGATTTTGAATTATGTGGCGAATCACTTCTTTTTCAATGGTCAACATTTTTTAGTTGAGCAGCTGACAGAAACTGCCTTGGCTGTTACAAATCACGGACCAACTAAAGCTCATTCATACTACAACTTGGCTCAATCTAATCACATCAAGGTCTGAGAATATTTTCGATTATTTTAATGTCATTAAATGCGGAACTTCCTATATGTAGAATATACAATTGACTAAGGCGAAAAAGATCTAGAGTGAACCCCTTTTCGCATATATTAATTCTATCCAGCTGTTCAATATTGTTTTTGTGCCACTCACTCGTTTTTTTTTCTTCCTGCTTTCATTATCTGCTATCCAGATCATTTTGAATTGTGATGTAAAATTGTAACTGATCATGCTTCTCCTGCTACAAGCTTTATGTATTTTGATAGCCTAATCTATCTTGTTGGCTCGCTATAATGTATTAGATAATATGAGTTAAAATTGTGTTTTTGTGATAATACATGAATATTTCTTATCTTTTATAATAATCAGGTTATGGGTTTTTCTAATTTCAGAATTACTGTTTTGATTCATAGTGTGTCCTAATTTAATTGTATTAAAATATGAGATTTTTTTGTGAGAAATTAGATAATTAAGATTATGGTGTGCACAGGTAGTCGCTGTTTTTTTTTTTTAACTGCCAGAAGCAGGAAGCAGGCAGCAGCTAGCAGGTAGGAGCCACCAGCAGGCAGCATCTGGCCGCCAGCCACAGGATGCAGCTAGCCGCCACCAGCAGGAAGTCGCCAGCTGCAGCTAGCCGCTGGCAGCCGACAGTCGTAGTCACTAGCTTCAGGCAGCAGAGACTCGGGTAAAAATATGCTGAATTCTTTCAGCTACTTTGTAAAATTTATGTCATGCTTAATCAAGCATTCTAGCTTAAGCAATTTTGGTTTTGTTTGATTGCAAAAGTACTTGTTAAATTGGACTTTTGATTAAGAATTAGTTGAGAAAATTTTACTTTTTGGTGAACTCATGTTGGTAACTAAAATTAGACAATTGTAAGTATTAGTATTCTCACAGACATATGGTATATGTACCAGTTAGACACAAATATTATAAGATCGTGGGGATTTTGTGAGTTTATTGATATTTTTACAACGTCCATGTCAGATTTTGGAATTATAACATTTGAGAATTAGATTTTGGGCTGAATATTGACATACATATATTTTTGTTTTTGTAAGAAGCATTTCCATGTTATTCGGGTTGATGTGGAGAGGATATGAAGGCAAATGCAGCTGTGTAGGTAAAATACTGTTCTTCACTCTACCTTTTTCTAGTTTCATATGGCATACAAAAAAGAAAAGAAAAATGGAGTATGAATTGCCTCTTTATGCTTTTAGTCTTATTTACTTGTTTTTGCAGGAACACTGACTTGCTGATCATGCTTACCTAGCTCTCTATGGGGAAGGAAAATCACATCCCAGAGTTGCTCCCTATGCTCGCTTTTACATTTGTTAACCTCACCTTGGGCTCCCTGTATATTGTGCTCCCCTCTAAGAGTTCTTTGTTGGGCACTCACTACCATCATCAAAGTTTTTAATAGGTAAATTTCTTCTTCTATACAAAGGTATTCGATTTTTTTTCATCGTCCTTGGAGTTAATATGATCTTGGATAGGATGGTATACATACAACTTTATGGCAAAACCTTAAAGAATAATTACAGACTTGCACTGTTAGTCCTGTTATGAAGCTCACAATACTCTTTTATGACCAAGACTATGTTTGTCTGAACCATAAATTATATTAAGACTCTTAAACAGATGAAGAGAGAGGATAAGACTGAGGTTGGCTTTGTTTTGCAGCAATTGGGGGCAAGGGATGTGAGGTCCTCTATTTATTTCGTTACATTTCTTGCTCATTACAGTTGTTGAGTACAGTTACGACTTACGAGGTCAGTCTAAAATTTTAGTACTAGTATTTTTTTTCAAAACAACCCCAAAGGGCGAGACTAATTCATTAAATCAACTTAAGCAAGTTCAATTACACGAGACGGAAAGGCATCATACCACAAACGGTGACCAACCTCCCATGGTTGAAGGTGGGCCAATTCATGTGCAATTTTGTTCCCTCATCTTCTCACAAAAGACCAGCAAACACTAGAAAAACTAGAACAAAAAACTAAATACTCGTATCATCTATGACTAAGATGGAAGAACTAGAGCTGCAAGACTTATTCTTATAAAACTTATACTTGCATACAATCACTTTCTAGCACCAAGTGACCAACCCCTGCATCCTTCATCATTTGCAAACCAAACAACACTGCCTTGGCCTCAGCTATCGACGTCTCCCACTTATCATTGGACTGAGAAACTCCACAAGCACGCACATTCCCTTCTGAATTTGGATTTAACAAATAAGATTGTGATTATAGTTTTGGGTGTGATTGTTTTCAGCTTGATGCTACATCGTTTGTTAAAGGGAATTATTATTTCTTTTATTGTTGTTATTGTGCAAGTGAGATTGGTAAGTTTCTGGAGTATTTGGATTGAAGGAACCAATCTATTTTCAGTAATGTCGTAGTATCCCCCTTGGAAATTATCAAGGGGAAGCTAGATAGATTTTTCCTGTGAGAATAGATAGATTTACAATGATGAAGTGGTGTGAGACCATGATTAAACTATACATAGTTAGCTGTGAATCAAATCCTAATCATACGTCAGATGTACGCACTGAGAGGAAAGCTAGGGGGATTGGCCTTCCAAATAGCAATAAAAAAAATACAATATTCAAGTATGATTCAAGCTACGTGATTCCGAATCAGATTATGATAATCCATCAGATGCTCACAATGACTAGCACAGTCAACTTTTCAATAAACAATAAACCAGAAGAATACAATATTCGAGAAAGATTCAAGCTAGCTACTTGATTTTGAATCAGACTGTGAACACATTGACAGAGAATCTAGTGGGTTGATTTTTCCAAACACAATAAACAGAAAGAATCCTAAACCATGGAAGTCAGCAAATCCCTTGGCAAAAAATGTATATTTGCAGCCTCACATTTCACAACAGCAGGATTTGTGGAAAGATTTTTGTACTAGTGATAAGTCTATTGTACAGACTCCGGCTTTTGATGAATTCTGTACTGAATATTTTTAATTTGTAAAATCAACAAAACCAGCCCCAGGTTCTCGCAAGCTGTGCTCCAGTGACCAGGAAATAAGCGTGAACAACCCAAAATATATTCCAAGACCAAAATTCAGGATCTGCTGTTCCTCGATCTCACCATTACTTTTACCATAATGATTTGAGGATCTAGAGATTAATCCGTAGTCGTTTACCTTACTTTTTCCCATTGAATACTACTGATGTAGGGTCGAAATCACATAATGTGAAATCTATAGATTACATGTACTATGTTTTTCTTTGTTGATTTGTGTATTTAAAACACTAAAGAAATTTTTAAGATCTGAAGTCTGATGATTCCTTGCTGTTTGGATCAGGAGTCAATTTGGTCAGGATGGTGGTAAACGGCAAACTAGCAGACAAGTCACTTTAGAGAAAAGCTCCAGAAAGGGAAGAAAGAAATCTAAGAACTCGGTTTTTGAAGGAACATCACTTGAAACTGGATACTGGATTAACCCTAAACAGACAGCCAGCACTCCAAAAGATGCTGGCAAGAGAAGGGTTAATGCTGATGGCCAATTTGCTGGTCGTTGGATTTTAGCATAAAATGGAAGAAGGTGAGGATGTAATGAGCCAGAAGTGTGCTTGCTTAATCACAGTTGACTGTTTGATAAAGCAATTAGCACTTTATTGATGATTTCAATTGTTTGACTACTTTAAGTTGCTGCATATGTTTTCTTACTGGATGAAATCATCAGTGTTAATTGGAGGTAGATATATTTTGATAGGAAAGAAAAAGTGTATTTATGTTACACTAATTTTTCTGAATATAGCTAAGCTATCATGTGTTGCTGAAAGAAAACCTGCTTGAAACTCCATTTTTTACAACATGTGGAGCATCCTTGTTTTACTAGATCACTTCCAAAGTTCCAAATTCCAATTTTTTGTGCTACATCTGGTTCACACAATTGACGATTAAGGAATAGAATTACCATCAACAGTTATATTTGTTTCCTATTTGGCTATTTCCCAATGGTGATGTTTTTTTTTTGGCAGTAATTTTCATTTGTGTTATTAGCTTGTGTATGTTGTATAATTGTGTCTATTAATAGCAATTTGATCAACATGAACATTATCTCCAATTATTCTGATTGTGATTAATGTCACTGCAATCACCTCTTTATTCTGTTGTGTAAATCTTTTTCAGGTGTATATCACTAAAATAGAACAAGAACTGACATGTCAAATTGTCTACAGACATTATAGAAAGGTATCTATAACCAAATTGTTTAGATATGTCACTCTGCTCATGTTACTAAACATTTTAAGCTTTGCGGTCATATATTTTAGTACCATGAAAATTCTCCTTTCTTTATTTCCTGCTAGAATTCAGTGAAAGTGCATGAAACACCACAACATTGTCGGTCATTTCTATTTGCACTTTAGGGAAGATGACCAATGCTTGATTTTGTTCTTGACAGGAAAGTGGAAATAGTTATAAGAAGTCTAAAAAAGAAGGGTGCTATGAAAAAAAAGTGAAAGTTTCAAGCTGTTGTGCTAGCAATGTAGAATACTAGAATTAGTCTTCTTTGTGATCGTTTCTTTTTTTTTTAAAAAAAGATAGACATGCTCTTGAGTATTTGATGTACTAATTACTGTCATTTTAGTCAGTATGCTAGTGAATAAAGATAAAAAATTACTCATATGTTGCAGTTTTGTATAATACTACAAGTTCTATTTTTTGTTGGTCAAAGTGTTAATTCATTTCCGAAAGCTACAAACATATCTGTAGTCTGGAATGATTCTACTTCACTGCTATGTTAATTCAAGTTACTATGTGAAATTCTAAAGTCAAATACTCTCAATAAACTTGACTCATCATACCTTACTCATAGTATTTGCACTTTTCCCATAAGACTCCAATCAATTACATAAGGCAATGGAAACACATGAAACAATCATTGTCTTTTATACCTTGAAACAACGTTTTTAAAATTGTTGCATAGGAAACAATTTTATTGTTGTATTTTTGGACAACATTTGAAATAAATGTTGCCTTATTTTTTTTAAAAAAGGCTACATTCTACATATTGTTGTCTTACATTGTCTTAAGCAACACTTTTTAAACCGTTGCATTGTAGGTAGTATACATTGTTTAGGATCAAGGTAACAAACATGTTTTGTTGCCTTTTATAGTAAAAGACAACATTTGTAAAATTGTTGCAATTTTGTGTGTTGCCTATTCTCATTTTCCCTCTCCTTACAGTGGCGACTCCGCTGGGGATTAGAGGTTACAAGATAAGTTCGTATTTATGGTTCAAGGTTTCCAACACTAGGTTGCCTATGTATTGTAATGAGAATTAACTTGGATAATCTTTAGTTAGAGAGCGAGACTTAAACTCATAATATCTTCCTTTATTCACAAAAGTAAAAGCCAAACAAGCACATTGCATCATGCATAATCATAGCACACTTTAACCTTGGGGATTGGCTCATTGATTAGGGGTTTCCAACACTAGGCTTCCATCCCGAAATCAATAACAATCATCCCACCCATATCGCAACAAAATGTTGGGAGGGCTATGTCATGGGTCAACACGTTGAGTTATTGATTTGTGCATCGTCCCTTAAGATATGGTACCTTTGGACACCCAAGCCTTGACCTTAGAGTGGCATTGTATGCTTTGACGGTTACTTTTATGTGCTTATGTGACTACATGAATATGTGCTTCGTATCTAATCTAACTAATCCCAACTTGTTACCTAGGGATATAATAAAAAAAAAAATTTTGCAAAAATTATGGTTCGACAAAAAAAAAAAAAAAATGTTGTCTGCACTTCTATTTTCAAAAAAAAAAAAAAAAAAAAAAAAAAAAAAAATTTAAAATTGTCGAACCTACCAGATGGCACGCGAAACTGTCGAAGTTGCGCGCGCCCTCCAAGCGCAATTTCAAAAGTTGCGCGCGGCGCCTCTGCACAGCTCTCTGTCTTGCGCGCGCCCACTGTTCAACTTTGACTTTGACTCATTACGAGCAATATCATACGGAGAAAACGATATTATCGCTTCAAGGTTAATCGTAAAGTAGGTGCTAAAAATATCTCTTTGGCTAACAATGTTGGCTAACTTAGTTACCTTTACTTTGATATTCGTTTTCATTTTTTCAAAAAAATAAAAAAAAAATGTTTTTTTATCGTTCTTTTTGCGTTTTCGCAAAAAAAAAAAAAAAAAAAAAAATCGCATGTGGCAGATGCTACTCTTCAAGTTACACTTTCAACCTTAGCGCAAGACGGAAAATTGCACGCGATACTATTTTTTATTATGATGATTTGTTTACGTACTTTATAATCGAACTAATGACATTACTTCTTATGAGGTTCGTCATTAGACATTCGCATCCCTTAGTAGGACTTCATCAATATGTTTATTCTTAAACGTGCCTATTTTCATGTTCATCATGTTTTAGTTGTAATTGATCAACCTTGATTTAAGAGTATAATTTTTTTTACCTCTTCTATGGTTTAAAAAGAAAATATCGATAACCTTACTTGGGATGTTTGCCTCATACACACACAAAAAAAAAAAGAAAAAAAAAAGAGAACGAAAGAAAAAAACACAGATAATAAAATCATTCTTAAAAAAATATGATAAAAAAAAAATTATATTCTGAAAAAAAGAGAGAAGATAATGAATGATAAAATCGAGAAAATGATTTAATTATTTCTTGGATTTTACATTCGGAGGCCATCATTCTTTTTAAGCAAATAGTAATATATTATCCTTTAAAGTTGAGCAATCTGAGAATCATAATTGAAAAAAAAATGATATAGATCTCTATTGCAACCTAAATGATCATTAAATACCATAGTATATTTGATCATTTTAAGGAGTATGTTCGGGTTGATTAATATTCCTTAAAATTTGATGAGCATTTTTAATCTAACTTTCTTGTCTTTCTCTTCTACCTTTTTTCGAAAATATTCATTTAAAGTTAAATCCTTAGATGATTACCTTGTTGAAGTCAACACAAATCATGACATTCCATTAATGATTGTTTGTGAATTTTTTGACATTCTTCATCAACAAACTTGCTTAAAGTGAATTCGTATTACAAGGATTAAAAAAAAGAAATAAACTATTGTTTCTCGTGATACACATTACTAGATCATCTTTTACAATCGCGTACTAGTCCAATCATTGGTGATAAAGCAGCATTGGAGAAATTTAGAGAGGAACTCCAAAACCAAAAGGCCCTACGAGAAGAAGAAGCCCAAATCAAGACTCATAAAAAAGCAGAAAAGGCTAAAATAAAAGCAGAAAAAGAAAAAGAAAACATTCTGCATGAAAAAGCAAGAGCCGGAGGAGTAGAGGCCTTGGAGAAACTTGTCCTTCGAGCTAACTTAGGGAATAAGTACTTCAATTATGAGCTTGCACCATAACCTTTTGGCAAGACTCTCCCAGAAAAGTTCTTGGCTACAGATTTGCCAACCTTTAAGGTTACAGACAATCCGAGGACTCACTTAATGAGATTTATTGGAATTATGGCATTGAAAGGGGTTGAGCCAAGCCTATATGCATGTACTTTTCTTCTTTCATTGGACCCAACTGCTAGATCAAGGTTTTATAATCTCGATGCAAAACAAATTTCCACTTGGAGTGACGTTGTAAAAGCGTTTTTAACCCAATATGGAGATAACATCGAGCTCACAACTACCTTGCGCGATCTTGAATTACTTAAGCAAGGGGAAGAAGAAGGCTTCATTGACTTCTTTTCCAGGTGGCGATCAAAGATTGCTCTTATTTCCCAAAGACCTCCGGATCATGAACTTTTCCCAAATTTCATAGATATATGTCTCCACCATACAAGTTCCATTTAAAATACCTTGGTTTAGACACATTTCAAAAAGTCTATATTGTGGGAACATTAATTAAATAAAAAGAGGCCCATCTTTGGCCCATAAAGAAAGGATATGATGATTTCACTAACACAGGAGGCAACTTGAAACTCCACAAGTATAATCCCATGTTCTTAACCTTGGTGAGAATCCATCTTTTTGTCATGAGCCTCGTCAATTGAGCCTTAGTTATTCAACCTACATTATTTCATACCTTGAGATGGGAATGGTGCAAAGAGATACAAATAGGAAATTGGGGGAACGAAACATAAGAGGGGGACACAAAGTTAGTCTAAACCCAAATACCCAATCCAAAAGAAAAAAAAAAGTTCTAAACCAAAACAAAACTTGTCAAAAAAAAAAAAAAACAAAAAAAGAGAGAAAGAAAAAAAAAAGAGAGAGAGGACAAGGAAAAGGCACCAAATGTAGGAAGTTGCCACACAAAGCATAAATGTTTTAATTTTTGATAAGCAGCAAAAATAAAGGATTTTGGGAGTATACTTGATCCTGTCAATTCTTCATAACCCCAAGTCTAGCCATGTTACAACCTTGGAAAGGCCCTTCTTGAGGTAGACTATAACCATTGTAGGGAATATTTCAAGCATTACCCCAAACTTGAGCCCCACTGTGATCATACACCAAAGTATGGTGGCGCCCAAAGGGAAGGAAGCTAGAGTAAAAGAGTCGACAACAAGTTTTAGGAACTTGTAAACCATTCACAGGGTGAAGGTTACACCCCTTAGCGATCCAGGAGATCGTGAACTCCAATAGGTCTGGAACCAAGACTGGAAGTTCGAGGATGAAGGTACAAATCAACCTAAAAGAGATTAAACTTGCCCTAAAAATAGGCCTTTACTTTATTCTTCTCGTATTCATGTGCGCTTTCTGACTAACATACAATCAATAGATTAGCCCTAAACTTGTTTAATATATGTCGGTTGAATATTAATGCACAAATAAATCTATTATTGGTGATCACTTGAATTATAATCATATTAACCCTAAACGAGATTATTAATTATCATATTAAGCGTGATTACAAGTACAAATTCCTTTTAAACATGCATAAAGGTGTGATCAAGCAATAACAATAATAACAATCAAGCAACATAATAATAAGCATAATTATAATCAAAATAATCATGTTAAAGCATAATATTAATAGCAAGATCCTAGGCATGATACTAACAAGATTAATAACAAACCCTAGCATGTCACTAAACATCAAAGATTAAAGTTTTAGCCCTAACATGATATTAAGAAAGAAAATAGGAAGCATTCTTTCAATCATACTTGATATTAGAAATATTAATTAACCTAAACATGATACTAGGAAGCAATAAAACATCCTAACATGATACTAGGAATCAAAATAATAATCTAAACATGATTTCTATATCAAAAGATCAATTAAACAATTAAAGCACTTACTTTAATGCCTCGCATCTATTTCTAATAACAAAATATACACATTAGTAATTTCAAGGAAAAGAATAAAAACAGTAAAATTAAATAAAATAATTTAAATAAAGATTAGGGACCAAATCCTAAGAAATTATCAACCTTTCACGTCTAGGGCAAAGGAAATTTCAAGCTTGGCTAGGTGCGTTTGGCGATGCAAGAGATTTTCTACACGTTTTCCACAAGGAATCCATTTCTCAATATAATTAAATCGTAAAATCCGTGTCAGGGGTAAAATCGTATTTTCGTAAAACCACTTATTTTGTTCCAAGTAAAACTCTAAAACATAATTATCAATCCTAAATCCTTTAGGATTTTAGATAACCTTCTAGAAAATTCAAGAAAAATATA